CTGCTGACATCAGCTTGAGGTACCCGAACATGACAAGGGGAAGATGTTCTCAGTGCAACTGATCACGTACATTGTCTTCCACTAGTTGTCATGGTAAACGAAAACTTGAGTGGAATAGCGAGACAATATAAAACTTCAAAACTTTTGGATGTCAGCAGAGCGAATAACCAACGTCGAGAAAAAGCAACAGCTTAGAGTAAGGCACATCTACATAAATAAGTAGTAGTTTTCAATGCAAGTGGTCACGAGGCTTCGATTATAATGACATATGATAGGGTGTGAGGAAATTATCGTTTCTTAAGAAGTGGATACGTCTCATATTTTCCAAAACTAGAGACGAAGAAAATGGGTTCTGTATTACAAGGGAGTATAATAGGCTTTCCGGAGTTCATCGAGCAAGCTTTCAATATTACCGACCAGTTGCAATTGCGTTGAAGTTCCAATAGTAACGAAAAGGTTAATTATTCGTTTCACGGGTGTAGGTGAACAAAGAGCAGCAGTTCCAGTGACAACAGTGGTGGTACCGCGAAACGGAACCGTGTTTTAGACCAAGATGTGAAGTTCACAAATAACTGCATTATTTAACGTGAGTAGGAAACGGATAATCATAACATACTTCTGTGCACTCTTTCAGCCGTTTATCTTTATTGTTCATGTCCTTGATCGGGTCCAAGAGGGGAAGAGAACCACCCAGTTTTTCCTTCGCCCGCTGAATACCCTCCCAAAGGTGTCTTCGAACAGATTCCGGTTGTCTGGAGATCTTTTTAGCCAATAAGTCGCCCTTGTTGGAATTGCAATCCACAATATTTGTGACGTTCAGGCAAACGCTAGATAGGTCAGCCAAACATATGAGCGGAACGGAAATTAGTCGGATGGTGGAGGGAGTGGCACGTTCGGCGCAGTTTTCCTCATCCATTCCATCAGGAATGTCTACAGTTGAAAAAGCCGATTGGACCATCGATAGAGGAAGTGGTCTGCTCCAACCAGATGGACTATCATCGGATGATGACGTTTCAAGCAGACCGACGGGAAGAACTTCCAATAAACACTCTACGGTGATCACATCGTCTTGGATCGAATCACAGGCTTTCTTCCCCTTGCAACTGGGCGGCCGATTAATATGTAGCACAATACCCCATCCGAAGTCTATATCATCGGAAGTATGAACCTGGGAAAAAAA